CACGACATTGTCGAATCCAAGAGATGCTTTCGTAGATTTAGAAAAGGATGAGGGTTAGTATGAACTGGTTCTTCCTTTTCCAGTTTCTTTATTTTAAGTAGTAGTACTACACGTATTACTTGTATTATATGATGTCCTGTCGAAGAGTTTTCCAGTCGTTTCTTAATTTGTAAAGAATAAATCACCGCATAAAAATAATTAAGCTAGCCGCTAGGCGGAATTAGATTAACGTTTCAGACATTTGAAAACTGTTGTTTTACTTCGCAGCATGCGTTCCGAACGTTACCGATCAAAGGCCGAGCATGAACGAAAGATTTGCCCTAGGCGGGATTGAACCTGCGCATTACGCTTACCAGACTAACCATTATACCACCAGCGTCGACTTGAAATCTGCTTAATGGCTTTTAAATGTGTATAAATCCATTAGCTCAAGCCCTGGTGAATCCTTGCTCATAAATTTTGGTGCAAATGAGATGTAAACAGATGAAATGACTAATGGACCACCATCTAGCAGTAATGAGATGAGACCATTCCACCCGAATGGTGCGCTCCCGAATGTATAGGTCCTGAATTCTACTGATGGTACTTTTCGCAGAAAATAACGAATTAAATTCGGCCGCGAAACGGCAATTTAGTAATCGCTGCTCGCTGAACGGCATGAACTTATAGGGATATTATCTTGAATAATTCAGAGGTCTTCTTCGAGGATCTCCTCACACTTATAATTTATTCAATTTACCCGTCCAGGAAGTATGGAATGCCTGATTATCCCTAATCGGAGCCGATCCCGGATTTGACCTCTGGTTGCGCACGCGGTAAACGGCGCCTATAAGTGTATAAGTTTAGAAAACCGACGAGGTGAAGTGCCCGAAACGAGGCGAGTAAAATCGAATGCGTAGGTGGGCCCGTTGCACCCAGCACCACTCTCTCGCCTAGGCAGTACCCGGTTACGGTTGAAGAGCAGAATCAGCCGCCACAGCTTCCTTTCCTCACCTCAAAACTTCCGCCCAATTGTGTTTCCTGAAACTTCATCCCCCGCAATATTCGATTCCACACGCACAATCTGGGAGTACTCTATCCCATCACTTTTCCTAGAGTTCAGTCCTGGGTAAATTCGTATCAGGCCTGCCTGAAGCGGTGAAAACGCTATGGAGTGCAGCAGTTGATATCGTAACGATTAAAGGCAAATGGCACGATAAATCTTCAAAACGGGTAGGATTAATCCTTCTACTAGGACAGAATTTGCCGCCCTTGAGCAACCGCTGCGTGCTCTTTTTTCAAGGGAGGTGCCCTCATAGCGTCCCATCAAGCTGCAACATGCCGACCCGGACGCCCACCGCGCCGCCCGCCCACAAATGTCCGACCGATGCTGATGCTCGTATCGCTTCATTTGCGAAGTACAATATGAAGCGAAGGGATTGATATGAAGCGGCTGCGGTGCTGCATGGATATATGAGTACATACATGCAGCCGTATCTACCGTAGCGGTTATTGGCACGATGCCAACGGGAAACTCGTCCGAAATTGCTTTCTGAGTCGTTAGAACGAAGGCTCTTTTGCGAGTATTTGGACCTTTTCACTTCGCTTTTTCGCCATTTCACCCACTTATAGCGCTCCTGCCCCTGCTACCATTTTGAATCAAGTATCAAATTCGTTGCTCGCGCCTCTAATAAAAGAAACTATGACGGAGGCCGTCTCGCAAGAAGTGATTGATCAAAGGCGAAAGCTTCATTTTTTATGGATGAAAATTTGCACATCTTTCTGTAGATGTGTACCAAGATCGATGACTTCGTGGGCTAAGACACCGTGCTTCTTCAATATAAGTTAGTTGAAGCGAGGACGCAAAAGTGCCGTCGCAGGCAGGGTCAATGAGCGGCGCTCATACCAGGACCCATATCTTTCAAAGTGGCAGCAATGCGTAGTGTGAAATCTAACTAGGAAACACTCAGGCATTGTTACTGTATGAATTTGCGATGTGTATCCATTTGGTGCCAGATCTCATGATCTCTGATAACAAATATTTTGAATGTTTTAGTTGAATAATCATTAATCATGTCATATATATTTATTACCTTGAAAGTAGTTAAATTGACGTTTCAAACCTGTCTGTTTCAGGTACTCACAAAAAGATCATCGCTTTGGTGGCTCGTGAAGATGTCGACTTGACGTTGGCTCCAACGACGAATTTGAAATCAATTCTAAAAGCTTATCCACAGAGCTGAATCTATGAATGCGAGAAGGCTTTTCATAAAAAAAAAACAAAATAAATGCTCGCTGCCACGTGAATTCACTTGCATAAGAACAATTTTAGCAACATTTCGGGTTTTTGAGGGTGATACACTTTTTCCAATTTCTCCGCGTTCTTTCTTGAGTTCTTCTTCTGAGTGGAACTTTGATAGAATCTCGATATTTATTATTCATTTATTTATGGACGCAGGTATGAGCCCATGACGAACAAAACCAACAACAACGATCAGCATGCCAAAGCACAATGAAACTAAAGTAGGAACCATAAATATAAGAAAGCGAGAGGCCGAAGGGAAAGAAAAAAAGGTGATTAGATATTAAAACAGGCAAGGTAAATATCAAACTAACATATGGGCAGCACCTGGCTACAAGTGGAGTGCGGAATTATCGTTGCTCTCTTTTGCTGGCCCATCGGAACTTAGTTTGACTAAACGACCTTACGGTATGTCCAGTTGTGTGCGTTCACGGAACTGACACGTTTGATTTGCCGCGCAGTTCTTGGTGGCACTGTGTGCCAATTGTCTTCCCGACCTTATGATTCAGGCAGGGAGGGACGGGTACATTGTTATCGATAAAAGAATCTAGAATACGACGATCAATTATCTCATTGGCATATTAATCAGCATAGTTACTGCATAATAATTAGCATATAGGAAGTCATACTTTGGCTTCAAGGAGCAAGACGACCTATCTCGAAGTGGATCTCAAGGACAGGGCATGATAATTTGGTTCTCTGCAGAAAAAGGGAGCGCACACTGTAGTACGACAGTGGCAAAAAAGGGACGATACGGTCTAAAATGCCCAAAATGAGGCCTTCAACTGCTCCAATCAGAAAGTGTACGAGATTACGCCTAGATAATGAGCGCTAGTCAAAAAACAACGTGGAAAAAAATCACGGTGACAGCAAAGGAAAATGTATCATTATCATTATTCAATCTGTAGCAAACGTAACTATCACGTCCGTAACCCACCAGAAAAATTTCACCAAGGGGGGGGGGCGGGGGAAGATTCAGATTGTGAGCAAATAGGAAACGCAACAGTAAAGACATTGCTTCAACATGCCGCCTTCCGGTTTTCAGAATTCCCACGCGCAAAAAAGCTGCCACCTCCAGAAAAACTCAGAGACTTACACCCGGCCAACAGACCTGCTCCAGCGCTGATTCACTATGGACTCATAACGCGGCCGCCAGCGCTTGCGAGTCTTTATGTACCTAATCATTCTCATCAAAGCAAACAATCACAACCGGAGAGGGGGGGGGGTCGTACAGACACCGCCATTTCACATATCACGATGCTGTACCCTGTCCCAGTAGGAGGGTGATCAAAGGCGCGAGCTTTATCACTTTTTCATGTTGATTGCGAATATACACATTTTTCTGTAGACGTGCTCCAAGATTGATGATTTCGTGGGCTATATGAGACATCGCGCCTATTCAATATGTCACAAACTGTTGCTCTGCCAATATTTCCATCCCATCCATAGAGATGACTGCGGCTAAGAATAATATCTCAGCCAAAAATAGTCCAAGGAAATATTGCCCTCTTGGGTGCTCCTCAGCCAAATAAAGTGGTGCACCATAGGGATCAACCTCAAGGGACAACAATTTGACCAAAATGCATCCAGAGCGAGGATGGCAAAGGTGGGGTTGCAGGCGGAGTTTCGTGGGCGACACCACGATCAACTGTTTCAGTGTGGCAGCGTTGTACTGCGTGGCAGCGTTGTACTGCTCCAGGGGTAACTGTGGATGTATATAGTGGTCTCAAATCTCGTGATCTATTTTAAAAGGTTTCAGTTGAGTAATCATGTATCAAATCATATATTCCTTTCAGCTTCAAAAAGCTGCATTGTTCAAGGCTAACTTTCCGACGTACCCACCAAAAGATCATTGTTCTGGTGACAAAAAAATCAAAAAGATGACACTATTACAAAGTGAATTTGCCCTCTCTATCCTGACAACAGAGCAGGCGTGGCACTTAGACAGGGCATAGAATGAATTACTGTTGGGATATTTCATTTTGAGGCAACTGCCATCCTGTACAGTGTTCTGCAGAGACACGACAACAGTTATGTGAAGATGGAAATATCTTAGCCAGAAGCACAGACACCTTCAGGTTAAGTTGAAGAGTGGATTACTGGTGAGATATTTCATTTTGAGGCAACTGCCATCCTGTTCAGTGTTGAACAGAGACTACAGTTGCGTCCAAATAAAAGTATCGTACCTGAAGCAGAGTCACCGCCACCTCTAGTCAGAGTACGCAGCCACGCCTACCACATCTCAGGAGTTTCATAACTGCAGGAACAGAAGATTCTACCAACACGTCGTCTTGCAAGGGAATACTCAGCCTTCTGACTTCATCTCTCAGTAGAACTATAGTTCTGAGATCTTCGTTCACTGGACGCAGTAAAGGGCAGAGTACGTGAGTGAGACCCATAGGAAAATTGAGGGATTGTCGTGCTTACAGCATGAAATGAGTCCTGATGAACCCTTCCCCAGTGAGCCTCTCGGCTGTTCTCTCGTAATTGTCAAAAAGAAGCAGTCAGGACGAGTTCGGAAAGAGAAATTCTTGGAAACCACATAGCTGCTGTCAAAGCACGGTAAAAGCGATTGATTAGGCAGCGTTCATACTTCGCGACAGCAGCGGCGATCGGCCTCGGCGATCGCCGCGATCGTCGGTACATGGCAGAGCGCGCCCCAACGCTATTACTTGCGCTCCGAAGGCTTTTGGGAAGAAGCGCCTCAATTTCATGCTTTTTTTACTGAAGCTTTTTGACACAAGAAAAGGTGAACCCAACTTAATGGCTTTTGTTTTCTATTTTCTTTCTTGATTCAGGATAGAAATGAGCAAAAAGCGTGAGAGCTTCATTTAGGGTAGGTTTTTATTGTTTCTTTTTTCATTCGTCGAGCTTATACATGAGGTTATAAAGTTTTCACCTGTTGATGTTGCGTAAAATGATTAGTGTTTTGGTTCCTAGGTGAGTTTCTTTCTGTTTCTTTTTTTCTTCGTTGTTTGAACTCGACTTGTAAACTATAAATGTTTTGGAAGTTGGAACAGTTCAGACGATAGGAACTTTTAAGGCGCTTGCATAAATTGAAACAATAAAAACAAAAGAAACAAAAAGAAGCTCACCCAGGAAATGGAGTTGGCCTTATCCCGACCTAAAAAGAAGTGAAACCTCCTTACCTCATATTCCAGATCCGCTTATGTATAGAAAGTCGTAAGTTATCAGTTAGTAGCCATTATTAAGAGAAAAGAAGGTCTCACAAGTTGGATTTCCTTATTTATCAAGCGAGCAGTCCATTCAATCGCGGCGATCGCGGCGATTGTGACGATCGCCGAGGTCGCCGCGATCGCCGCTGCTGTCGCTAAGTATAAACGCTGCCTTAGGGGGAAGCGCCTGAAATCTAGATTGAACGATGTCAACGCACTTGGAAACTTCAGGTGTTGGCCCAAGATACAATAGACAAGGTTCACCCTGTAGCTAATCACCGCCTCCGTAAACGAAGATCTATAGTGACTTTAGGGAATATTTCTCGTTGTAGGAAAGGAAAAGAATACCCAAAAGCATGTACGAGGCATCATCGTGAATTTCCACCAAACTTCAAGACTGTTCCAGCGGATGCGCCCTCCCCAAAAATGATATGTGGGTCACTAAGTAATGATTTTGGGTTAGTTGTCACGCAATTCGTCCACCAAGATGATGCTCTTAGTACTCGCATACTACCTAAGTTTGGCGAGTGTATCATATGGCTTGCTGATGACGCAGTCAATATTGCCCTAGAGCTTGGACGGCTCAGTAGTTTTCCACATGTATGCCTGAAGCAGAAATATTTTGAAGAAGGATATCAGAGTCATAGCGGCAGTGTGAAGTCTATACAAAGAAGAGAGTGGCGACGGCTGAAAGACGAGAAAAGGAGGGGAAGGATGTACCGGGGGCCTGAATGAAGGTGACTGAAGTATGTTAATACGGTCATCAAGAAGATGAGTTTTATTCATTTATTCACTGATTTGCTCTCAAAAGTGCGCCACATGTAGACATTCATTATCACTAAAGTATTCGCGGCGTTTCAGCTGCACGTGGTCTCGCGCGGCGCCAGCCACGTACCCGCCACTCAATGAACGACCGGAATCGCAACGATGGATGGAAAACGAGCTGGTGCCGCGCGAGATCCACACTCCCAACCCCTTCCACCTGGCACGCGAGTGGCTTCAGTGATAACGACTGTATGTAGTATGTGCTACCTACTACACTCAAAATCCCCGAGACGCGGTAGGAGTGGCTGCGTACCTGAATTGAGCGTCTCTGCGGCCATAGTTTTTGTGAGATATTTTCCTTATGGGACAGCTGTAAACATGTCTTTGTAAAACGAACAAGGTGAGTTGTCTCAAACTGGAATATCGCACGAGCAACCCATCCTATGCCCTGCCCAAGTGCCACGCCCACTCCGTCTCAGGGATACAGTGAATTTGCTCGCGTTCTTTCTTGTAATTTGTCCCACCTCTGTCTCATGTGCCACACCTTACGAGTCGTGTTAGTCACGACTTCAACACCAGACTTTTGAAGAGGCTTATGTGAGAGCTTATTCACCTGAAGTAGTTCGAAATTTGGGAACAGAAGAATGAAATCAGAGAGCTTAACAGGTGAATGACAATCGACGTTAGCTAAGGTTCCCTATCGTAACTCTATTTATTAGGTTGTCCCAAAAATTCGTGGAATTTCCAGATATTTTTTCATATTTCAAAAATTCGTAGTTCGGTTCTAGAAGATCCCGGAGAGCGGAAATTGTGGGAAACGATAGGCAAACAGTTGGCGGACGGAATGAATGAAGCACACCCGCGATGGGCAGGGCGTTCGCCGAAGTGAACGGTGCCGGGGATAAAAACCCTCAAAACACATCCGAAAAACTCCAGGAAATGGGGAGTAAGTGAAACTGAGCAATGGTTGGGCAGATGAAGTTAGTTAGGGATAACCGTAGGGAGTATACCAAATGGTTGGTGCCGTTTATTCTGCGCTTCCTCATCACTGACGGGAGTGCGTATAGAAAATTTTGATGACTGTCTTCTAGGGGGGGGGAGGGGCGTGGGGTGGGGAGGGGGGGGAGTTATATACAAGGAGTAAAACGGCAAGGTGCGGTAATTCTCAACCGATTTCCGGCCGATCCGACTGGTACACCACATAACTGGATCTTGAAATGGCTGCGGAAAGATCTGATGCGAGATTAAAAAAAATTCCACAAACTTTTGACACAACCTAATATGTATTAGTTTGACTTGCATACACGCCCTTTGATTTTATCATATGCCTTTATTCCTTCAAACAAAATTCACGAGTAGCAGACTAGAAGTTGTGAGCGTGTGTCCTTCCTTCACATGTAGCATCTTGTACCCTCTTGTTCCGCGTCTCATAAATTCGTGAGGTCGATTCTGTATTTCCTGTCACTCGTTATGGCTCCAAATCTTTCGAAGTGCTTTTCTTCAGCCTAAAACACTGGCTCCCACTTCCGCTCTGTAAAAAAATGCTCGAAATATAAAGCTAACAAAGAACGGTGATAGACTGAGCGGTAAACTCGCAACTGTGCGAAATATGAAATCCTGTTTTGTCAGAATGGACATGTTGTTGGACAATCTTCTCTTACATTGAAGGTGGTCCACGAAAATAGAGCGCTTTTCAAAAAAACGGTTACCGGGGTTCTTCAGGAAAGTGAGTCCCAAAGTCATAAACACTATAGTGTGCATTCAAAGTTGCACTGGGAAAGCGCCTCGACCCTGGAAGACTTCTTCTAGAAACAGTCCAGTAATTGGAAGCAGGGCACGTCCTACGTAAAAGCTCCCTAGCTGGGGGTGGTCATATTTTGTCTGAGAATTTTACGATGGTAATTTTCCTAAGTGGGGTTGTGTATTTCTCATTTTTGCGCAGCTTATTCCGTTCATCTGGCACTATACCCCCATTCGGAAGGGGTGGTCAGGCTTAAAAAAGTTGGCAAGATAGTAGGATGCGGGAAGAGGTGGTGTTGGACGATTGGACGACGGGATTCGAAGGGGGGGGGGTCTGTTTCCCAGAAATATTTCAGCGGCAGGGCGTGCCTTGATTGGGGGTGGGGTCAGTTTTGTGTAAATCGATATTCCTAAAACGGAGCTCTAATGTTTGACCTTCTCGACGATTATGAAAACTGGGTTCGTTCCATGCCCCGACCCCGTCCCGAGCGATTGCGTCGATATCAACTGTATCGTTCTCACTGACGTGCATCAAATGCGATTGCGCAAGATTTTCCAAAACGAAATTACGTTGAACAGCAAAAGTAACACATGGCTCGAGATACTTCAGGATTTTTGGAAACAGAACCTAGCCAAGGCATTACATAGAAACTTGTTGAGCACAAAATGCACTCCATCCTTCCTTTCCTGAAATGAACAGGCTCAACTGCGGTCAACTCACGCCGCGACACTTATGTCGGATGACGAGGTAGGGCTCGATGTCAAACCATTCATCCTCTGTTCCACGCACTTCATAATGCTGATCTTTGCCTGTAGTAGTCGATTTGAGCAGGTCATCTTGGAAAACTGAAACAGAGACCCTGTATTTCTCATTTTCAGGATAAACCTATTAGTTGTAGAAATGCACCGTCCTCCTCCCACAGTTCGACGGTGATTGGGGAATTGGGATCATTTTCGCAGCGAAGGAATCCACTTACTTCTACACTTATCAATTTCGCACTGACACTGAGCAGAAGTCCAAGAAAGAAGATTTGCGTTATCATCTTCTGAAATTCTTCTTAGAGAGAAAAAGGATACAATTCATTCCTGACGAACAATGTAAACAGAGTACAGCCCATATCACGGCTTCCAGGGAGGGCGCATCGCGCTCAAAACTAAGCCCGTGCCCCCTCCAGGTACCCTGACATAAACCGTACATTCCGAATGAATTATTTCGTTAACAAGTCAACAACCAGGAAACTCTAATAAAATTGCCGGTCCCATCACTTCAGGTAAGGCTGATGAAGTTCCGCGTTTATCTACGAAGTGCTTGTATTTCAGTTCGAAAATAAGCGGTCTTCATATCAGAACGGAACAGAAACAATGGAGAAGAAGTGACTCTTTCATGGATGAGCTGTTGAGATGCTTTATATTATGGTGCTCTTCCGAATTCCTCTCGGTTGAATCAGAACAATTTCTAAGAGACGGGGCTTGCAACATCTCCCCAAAAAGCATAACAAATTCGATAAAGAGAGTTAATATTGTTGGGCTTCAGCCATGACAACTAGCTTTGAATGTGCATTAAATGCAATGAATCACAATTTCATCAAATTTCTGTTCAAATTTAATATAAGGAACTTCAGCCCGTCACTTCGAATTCGTTCTGATTCAGCCAAGAGGAATTTGGAGACTTGCTTACCACATGCACGGTAAATGCGTGGTCCAGTTACGGGTCGGTTACTCACAGGCTTATCAAGACTGACGAGCTGACTATCCTGGCTCTCAAAGGTTTCTGAGTGCTAGTTCAGAAATCTTTTCGTTTTCAGTTTTTCTTTTTACCAGGCATCGATCGCGGACACTTCACCAACAACCAAGAGAATGAGACGCGAACGAGATTATATATCTCGCTTTATTTAGTATTCTCAAATGTTTCGGAATAGTTAAATACCAAAATCAAGACTCGTTAATCTATGTCTCACCGGACACTACGTCAAGCCCTACCCCCACAACCACGCCAAATTTCAGCCGTGTTCGTGATTTTTTAAATTTCATCTCATAATACAACAAGAAAACAGTGAACTTCACCTGGTTTTTCTGTTCCGAGTGACGAACGAAACCCCAGAATGCGAGCTGAGGCTCTACCCTGCCGATTTGCACGGTTTTTCAAAGATAGGTGTGACCCTAGCAGTAGGCGGGGCTTCTCGGTCCAAAAAATGCAGAATTTTGAAAAATATAAAGATTCGCAAAAAGCCGAAAGCCTAATGTGCCAGTGCATTAATGCGCGTCTACGGGTATGTTGTTGTGTGAAGGTAGGAAAGAGTAAAAACAACAACGTTGAAAAAAGTGGACCAAGTTGCTAGCGTGCCAATGTACAGTCGTCGTTTTAGCTAGTCTCCATGTTCGCCATTCTTGTAACCTGGGCACTTGTACTAGGTTGGTGGGAAAGTTCCGTCACTTTTCAATTTGGGCTTTCTCATTATAGAGAGGCGTATTAGATCAAAATTATAATGTACTGCGGGGTCCTTGCCTGTTTTTGAGCACCTCATGGATGCCATCGCTTCACAATGCAGGGAGGCGCGATACAAAGTTGGACATCATCTCAATCTTGGCTTGAACTCAGACTTTTCGAGGTTTTCTCGTAATTTCTCGTCCAGTAATGATTGATTACGGGAGGCAACTCGCAGTTAGAAGGAGCAATGTCTGTGCTACACCACTGCAAGGGGAGAGCCATCCAGCTCTATTGCATGAGGAACGGCTAGAACTTTTTTGGAAGTGCGCTGCACTATCAGAAGCATTTGGAGGGGTCGGTGGCGATGGTAGCGGATAACATTCTTGTCCATATTGCAGAAGAAGAAGCAGGAATCAAGCGAGTGGTACTAATAGAAAGACCACTCTTTGATGTATAAGTGCTCACATTACCGTTCACCCCTCTTCAGGTAATGGACAAATATTTTGAGTGTGACAGAACTTTCCCGCCAACCTAATATTTATGTGCTCAAGTTTTCTTTACTATGCCGTACAGATTTGTGTGGTGGAAGTGTTTAGTTTACGGAGGTGTTTATTTGATTGGCGTTTCGTCGTTATCAAATGCTCAACAGTATATCGAAACTCATGACATACTTATCACAAGAATGCTGAGTTATGGGCAAAAGTCGTGCCCCAGGCGGGAGTCGAACCCGCACCTTTCCGGGCGAGTGCGCTATCCGTTACGCCACCAAGCTCCTACACAACTGAACTTTTATGCCGTAACCTTACAGCACTACACGTTCAACGGTGAACCGGTCAGCCGTAATCGTTAGATATCGGCAATGAACCGCGAGGCCGAAGGCTTTACAAGTTTTTGAAGCTGTTTTGTTAGATAACTGCTGTTTTACGCCGCAGTACGCGTTACGAAAGTTATCACAAGAATGCTGAGTTGTGGGCAAAAGTCGTGCCCCAGGCGGGAGTCGAACCCGCACCCCAAATACTATCTGTTCGACCTAAACCCTATCAAGTAGTCGCAACTCAGACCGAGAGGTTATGAACGAAAAGGGAATCCAAATTTCAGAGTACCTCGACACTCCCACCAACTCCAACCATCTGCTCAATTTCGACACAATGGAGCAAGTGAGACTGACTGAGCGCTGCCATAGTGTGATGATAGGCGTACGTGCACGTTTTCACTATTAAAGTTCACATAGTGGAATATATAGCAAGAAACCAGCCCTTATTGAGATGTGCTCACCCTGTTGTTCATACATGGATTGCGGCGCTTAATCCAGAGCTTCAAGAGTTCTCTGGGCACCAACATCGGTCCCGTAGGCCAGTGTTGTGCATTTAACGCCAAAATTACGGCCACCATGGTTTTCCCCTTCTATGCCTGCCAAGCGGTGCAACTGAACTTTTCGTTCGTTTGCTAGCTAGATGTTCTTTCACGAGTATACATTTTTGCCTCCCAGTTTCACCAGTATCTAAAGCGTCACACGTCAAACATTGGATTTGGTTTCAGCTAATGTACAGGTGCGGAAAGACCAAAGTGCAAAAAAACTTACGAAAGCAAAAGTTATAAAAAACTTGGGAAAACCACCACCACGTTGAAATGCGAGCGTGGCTGCAGGGGCGGGGCTTGCAGCAGTGTCTAGTGAGACATGGGTAGTTAGGTCTCAAATACGTTGAGAAGTCACGAGTTTAAAATGAAAATGGTATGCGAGCAGTGGTGAAAAATAATCAAAAGCACCAGTATGGACAATTTTGCCACTCTCCTCCAGTCGTGGTCGGAACTAATACATTTTGAGGTAATTGGCCTATTGATCGGAAGGCCGCTGTCCCTAAGGCTGCATTCATACTTTGCGGCAGCGTCCACTAGCGTTCCGAGCGTCCGGCAGCGTCAGCGACTGGGAAAGTATAGATATCGATCTAGCGTCTACCAGCGTGCACCAGCGTCCACCAGCGTCGAGCGTATAGAGAGTATGGCGCGATAGGAGGGTAGCAGACAACTGGTTCCCTGCTATCGCGCTAAATCATCTACCAGTACCTCCTATCTTCCCAGACTAACAATTGTCTGGTGACCTCCAATCGCCCCATACTTTCCCCTCCGGGTGCTGGTAGGCGCTGGCAGACGCAAGATCGATGATTATAGTTCAGAAGTCGCTGTCGCTGTCAAACGCTTGGAACGCTGGTGCAGCCGCCGCAAAGCATAACCACAGCCCAAGAGCTTGGCCATGGATTCTGGCCTAGTCAGCCTATTTTTTCTACATAGTTTTGTGGTCGAACTTCGGTGTTTCGAAGTTTTTCCTAGGTTGCTAATACTTTGCCTAGAATAGATGAAATTAGAATGAAATGATGATATATTATGAAATTGCAAACAATTAATCAAGAGTTTCGATGACGTAGGTCGCCGCGCTCTAACGCGCTAGAGCTGCGACGGCGCCCCAACCAACCAGATGCGGACAGTCGCAGACGGGAATCGATCGGCGCCGCACGTGTACGTGTGGGGGAACTGGGGGTCCTGGGTATGTGACAAGAGGATCGTAATTTGCCGCGCTGCTGGGCGTCGCGTGCGACGTCTCGCCCGCAAAGGACGATGGTTTCAGGCAGTAGATGGCGACAACATGCAATTAAGGACCGAAAACAGTAATGAGTGTCTACGATGACGGGGTCTACATGAAGTCCGGTGCTCCATTCGACAGGTTAAAACGAGTTATGAAAACGCCGCGCCCATCGCCGCGCGTGGCGGTGCGGCGAATTACGATCCTCTTTACCGTCTCCCGGGGGTCCTAACCACGCAGCCTGGTATCGATTACACTGTCCGCTAGGGCGGCACCGATCGTTTCCGTTGTTAAAGCGCGTCGTGCATCATTGCGAGATATCAGCGTTGCGCTACATAGGAATCTGCCCCTTTTCTGTCTCTGGCAGCCGTCGCCGCCCTCGCAAGCATACAGTTTATATCAACGCGACCTGTCGGGTCGTAATCAGCGATTCCCATTCGCGCCAGTGGCTGATTCCTTCCTACATCGATCATTGCTCGATCACCATTGGTAGAGCAAGGCAGCCGGACGCGAGCTCGTGCCGCGCTGCACTCGCCGCCCCCGACAAATTGCAGTGTTACAAACTGTACACTTTTTAACGCCCCTAATTGTCCCCGGATTTTACATTATCTGCTCAGCTTGTTCAAAAACGTTTCCAAGTGATGTGCGAGGTGAGCTCAACTTTTCTTTGTCTGATTATGGATAAGCCACTAAGTGTAGGACCGGAATTTTTCGAAAACTACAGTACTTGGGTTCGTTGCGGACCTGCGACCGTACTCTCGGCACATTATAAGGCATTTCAAACTGGCCTAATTTCGAGTGCGCATTCTTCTGGACTTGGAGAAGTTGATAAACGTTTATTAGATTGTGAAGATGAAAATTATTGACTTGGACAAAATGTTTTTGCGTTGTTTAGGTTTCACTGCTGAATATATACGCGCAGGCCAATTTTCTACGAGACCAGCTAAGGGCGTTATGTAAGCACTTCATCAGAAGCTAGAGCTT